CCAGGTCAAGTTTGAGGAGATGGAGACACCAAGATATTTGGTGGTACTTACTTTAGTTAGAATGTGTTCATGGAGGGTATAGGGAAACGTTATTGGGTTTCTAGAAGAAGGGACGGTCATCACCTCACATTTTGATGAGTTGAAGGCCATCAGCCACTCCTTCTCCCCCAACTACAGATACTATTGATGTCATACTGCAGTCTTTTACAATCGTCTTCTTCCTTAATACTCATCTGCAAGATGCAGTTGTCGGCGAAAAGCCTGACTTTAGCATGTGCAGCGTATTTAGGAAGGTCATTGATGTATGCTAGAAAGAGAATCGGGTCCAGGATTGTACCCTGGGGTACGCCCGATGTTACAGGCACTGGGTCCGAGCGCTCCCCGTCTAGCACTACAGTTTGTGAGCGGCCCTGCAGGAAATTCTGGATCCAGACAAGTGCCTTACCAGTAATGCCTTAAAACTGGAGTTTGTGTATTAGCTGTAGATGAGGGACCTTATCAAAGGCTTTAGCAAAGTCCATGATAATAAGGTTCGTCTGGTTCCCGTTTTTCTGAGGAAGGTGTCTGATAGACATGAAAGTACCGTGAGAGAAGTACCGTGAGAGAAGTACGGTGGTGAGAGAAGTACTGGTTGTGTTTATTAAGTAAATTCCAATATCCTATGTTCTACCAACCTGATGAAATCATTTTGGGAAATTATGCCACTGATATGATCAATCCAGGATTGAGGGTGGTACTCACATCCAGTGCATGTTTAGATGCCAGGGAGTCCCTGGATTCTTCACTGAACAGGACAGAGCCTCCCCCCAGGGACATGTTCTTGGCCTTTTCAGGAGATTGAAGAGTCGCTGGAAAATAATGAGTACAGATTATGTACGTTGATCAAGATTAGACATCCAGGTAAGGCCATGTTGATTTTGATTATATGGATGACATCCTCTGGAAACCCAAACCTGATGCGAGCATGCGAATAAAAAGTTAGTTGTCATGAAATCTATATGTGGTCATGAAGGTTGAACAAATGACTAAACACAGTATGGTACATGTATGTCGAATAATAGACTCTTCATTTTCATTTCTTCACATTGTTTTTTTTTTTGCATTCTATGACTGTATCAATTGTCAATCATTTGTTCATCTTGCAGCTGCTTTGTATGATTTACAGTGTGGTCAGTGTGGGGGGATGGACGAATGCACACATGAATGTCATCCATAATTATAATGAAAGCAACATGGTCTAAGGATATACACATAGGAATTGTGACTCATTACAAGCAACTGGATAGATTTTAAAAACTGTCAAATGCTTCAAGTAGCATCCACTACTTTACGTCAGTGACTGGGAATTAACTGTCACTGACGAATTTAACAGTCACTAATGAAAGTAGCGGATGCGACTTGAAACATCTGTTTTCAAAATCTATCCAGAAGTTAAAAACCTATCCAGTAGCTTCCTGGCATAATTATCATGTAAATGACGTTCATAAAAAAAAATTGGGTGGGTATTGATGGGGAAATTTCTTTCATCTGGGTGGATTTGCTAAACACAATCATGAACACCAGCAGAGCATGCACAAGCATTGCATGCACAAATTGACTACCAGCATTTACAGAAGTCAAAATACCCCATATTTATGTACTAAGAGTACATGTACAATGTACAGCTTTCCCCTCAGAGATTCACCAAAGGGCTATTGAAGGGGCGTTTTGTAATACATGTATTTTTGTACAAAAAATCATCTTATTTTCAAAAATTATATACTTGACATTTACGTCGGAATCCACTTTTTAACATATTTGCTCAATTATCTCACATTTCTTAACATTTAGGCCATGTTGATTTGATTATATGGATGACATCTATGCGCACATGAATTTTTGTTTGTCCCCCCCCAGAAAAAATTTTGTTTCGACCATACTGTAAATCGTACAAAATGAGCGAATATATGTCATATGTTGCAAAAAACAAGTACATGTATTAGAAAACGATACTAATGTCATACAATGCCAAAATTAATTCAGGAAAAGAAGAAAATGTGAAGAAATGAAAATGAAGAGTCTATTATTATCCGCCATAGCATACCATGTGTGTTTATCCTTTATGACTACATAGATTTTATAATGAAGCAAACGTCTTTTTTTTTTCCAAACTTATTTTTATTCGCACGCTCGCATCAGTTTTGGGGTTCCCAGAGGATGTCATCCATATAATCAAATCAACATGGCCTTATTATATTATTAGTGTGGGCACTAAAACAGCCCACACAAGATTTTATCTCTACTCACCTAGTAAGCTGCTGAGAGTTATATCACCAGCCTGAAAAATACAGAGGTTATCAGTCAAAACAAAAGCAGACAATACACCAGATAATACACCAGATAATACACCGACTGTCCATGGTGACTGAAGTTCCTGGAGTTGCCATCATGAGTTTTTGTCAGAATTTGTCTCAATGCAAGTGATCAGATACCTGAGTGCTGATTTACATGTAACACACCTGAATACACCTTACTGATCTATCTAATATATCTGTCCTTACTTTGGTCTTATGTTGGAACATCTCAAATACAGTCAAACTTGCCCAAGTGACCACCTCTATAAGTCGACCATCTGGCCATGAAAACATCTTTCTGCCCCCCCCCCATAGATTTAACATCCAAATGCAACTTGTTGTATCTATCTAGAGAAGACTGAAGACTGAATTCACTTCAACTTTGCATGTAGATCTTCTAAATTGCATGTAACGTTTCTGCCAACGTACATGTATAGTTTTGCAAATTAATGGAAAGAAAAGTACAATGTCATGTACAAAAGCCCTGCAACAATAATTATTGCATGCATTGTGTATGAGCTTATCTGTAAACAGTAGCAGGAAAAACAAGTCTACACAACCCACCTCTCCATTGAGAAGAACAGACTCCAGACAGAGTTTGGAGGGGGAAGTATTGGTGCTGATGGCAGGAATGTCCAGCCCTTCTCTTGAATGAGATGACAGATTTCCAGTCATTCCATCTATAAAGAGCAAAGGAACGGTGATGGTCGGGGTGCGTATGTGGCCGTGCAGCATTTATTTGTGCACAAGCAAACTTTATTTTTTGGATCATTTAAACGAAAATCTAAAAAAAGAAAGAAAATCACTAGTACTTAATTATTTTCAGGACTGAAAACGGATAGCAAAAATTTGCAGTTTGAGAAAAATGGATATGTTTGTGGAACTATACGTTTGCCGTGGCGGCAGGTGCAGAGTTGGTGAATTATTTGTTCATGGAAATGTTAAGTTGTGGTACATATTATTAAATTACCGCGAAAACTAAAACAAAAAAGTACTGTGAAAAATTGTGATTTCCCATATTTTCCTACACCTTAGTGGCCTGTATTGTGACTCACCCGTCATGTTAATATCCAGGATAGGGTCTGTCATTCCCGTGCCTGCTGTAGGCATGACAGACAAACTGCCCTGGTCAGGCAGGACGTCCAAACTCCCCATGCCAGAACCGCCGGCCGCAGACTGGGACACGTGTCCTCCTGCTAACGCCAGGCTCACGTCCTGAGACTGTGTGCTGAGAGGGGCTGGCTCAGACACAGGCTGAAACAGTGGTACAAACATCCCAAAACTCACTCAGATTTACATTGGAGATACCAAACGCTTCTAGCTCTGCTTGACTGTTCCTAACAGTCAATAGAAGTCCAAATACTACGTACATGTTAATGGGCCTAAATTCTCCTCCTAGCTCTGATTGGCGGATGTTTTTCCGCCAATGAGATATAGGAGGTTACCACGTAATCTTACATGTATCTTTCAAATAGCTTTTTTTTAGCATTTAATCTAATTTAACATGTTAATGTCTTGGGGTGGTGGGACTACGGCGCACAGATATATGTCAACTTTGTATACATGTATTTAAATGTTAATTGTACTTTTTGTGTGGCGCTGTTAATATAAGTTGTAAACCTGAGTGCAGCGTCACACTGTCCTTGTTATGTTTTCATGTTTTGATGAATAATAAAAAAAAAACATCCGAAAATAATTTCATAGAACATAGGATATTGGGATTTTCTTTCACACAACCAGTAATGTCTCTTACCTTGCTTTCATTTTGATGTCTATCAGACACCTTCCTCAGAGCTTCTGACTGGAGTGCTGCTTCTCGCCACTATATGTAGCCAATGCACTTTTGCAGCAAAAACACAATCCCAAACATGGGATTTGAGTTAGAAGCAGTACTCCAGTCAGAAGCTCTGAGCAATGTGTCTAGTAGATGCCGAAACATAAGCAAGGTAAGATACACTACTGGTTGTGTAAAAGAAAACTCCTACCTGTATAACCAGTGAGAAATACTTTCTTCAGTTTTCTGCAATATTGCAGAATGTCAACATTTTGTTTTGGAAATATACAAGCCTCCATACTACATCCTTCTCAACATAATAATGCCTACCGGTATTTGAAAAAGTCACTTAAAACAATTTATACAGTATACAATCAAAAGAATCTTTTTCAGCTTGGTAGATATTTTTCAAGAAGCGACGTCAAAGGTCTGACGTACATGTACTTGATTTCGCCCCTAGAAACTGCACTACCTGGGTGTAGAAGAAACATTATGTTCTTTGCGCAGAACACATAGACAAAACTGGGCTATATCCATGGATGCCGACACCATTGAACACCTAGCCTGAATTTTTCAGTCTGCAAAATTGCAGGTTGCTTCATTTTTCTTCAATCTGCAGTACTCAGTGCACGGTACTACTGAAAAATGCAGACTGCAGGTGGGCATTATGACCTCAGCTGTTTCCTTACCCGTGGGTGAGTTGTTAAAGTTTGTTGAGGTGTTGGAGGTTGTGGTGGTCCCAGCTGACCAGGAGTGCCAGTAGGGTACGTTGGCACTGGAGTCTGTGTCTGCATGGCCACTGCGCAGTCAACTGGGGAGAAAAATCAACCTGCTGATAACATGGAATCTAACACACCAGAAAAACTCAACCAAAGCAGATGTTGAACTAGAAAAGTAACATTTTAATGTTAACCTTCACATAGTTTATTCTAAGAATCTACTGCTCTGTTTATTCTTACTCAGACACATTCATCTACTAGTATATTCTGACCAGCCCCTCCAACTCAACCCAACACTCTACAGTACCAATTACCATCTGGTCCACTGATCTTATTTGTTTTGAATGGAAGAAGAAATGAAGCAAAAAAAAGTTTTCTTTCTGTGAAGGTGATCATAAATACACCAATGTTACCAATGTTATCAATGTTACCTGGCAGTGGTGGAAATAAATTTTCAGTGCTCTGCAATATTGCAGATTGTTAAAATTTGTTCCACAATTTGGAAATACTTTCTGCAAATACATGCTAGTAAGTCTGAACCTAAACCCTGGCATACACAAAATTGCAAAATTTTGCGTGTAATTCAAAAGATACATGGTGTGCACAATTACTAGGTACATGCATGTAGTATATTATAGAGTCTGTGGTAAACATAAAAGATCTTAAACAATATCATGATGACAAGAATTAATGCACAGTTCATTGTTTTTTTCAGTCTGCCAAATTGCACAGATGACAAATTTTTCTTCTCTGGAAAATGCAGACTGAGGGTGGGTATTTTTAACACTGCCAGATGTATCCATGGATGTCTTACACACATGTCCGCACAACATACCTGCTGATAGAGGTTTGGGAGAGGCTGTAGGTCTGAGCTGGGCCCCGGGAACCCCGGCAGCCTGGGCAGCTAGACTGATGGCACCTCCTGGGGACAAACGGCCACAAACGACATAGGGCTAGTTTATACGGGGCCAAAAAACTGTGTCCTACAACAATCTTCATGTAAACAGGACCACCACCGACACGCAGTGATTTTTGTGTGATGCATCCTGGATGTGCCACACGAAAATCACTGCGCTGCACCGTGCATCAGTGGCGGCAAATTGTGATTGTCATTTCATACTCTGTAGAGTTTAGGCGTAACTATATAGTATACAAGTTTTACAGAAACCTACTTGAAGCACAGTAAAGGGTAAGAATAAAACAACCTACTTCAAGCACATGTAGTAACCCAGTTTTCTCAATTTGAAAAAAGAAGTTACAACATAAATTTACTTGGAAAATTCTTGCTGATATTTGAAGGCATGACTGATTCTTGTTCTTTTCTGGGCTGGTATCAGATACTTACCAGAAGTTGCTGCCAGGGACTGTCCAGCAGTCGCGGTGTGAGCGGCAGTCTTGGGGGCGATGGGTCGGGAGGTGGTAGTGGCCGGAGACGGGGTTTTCCTGGGGAGGATGGGAGTGAAGGAGCCCTGGATAGCAGCATGGGAGTTGTGGATGAAGGACAGGGACATCATGTGTCGAGAGGGCTGAGATGGCCGCGGCAGGAGTGTTCTCTGGAGTACAAGAGTTACAAGTCAAGTTACTGGAGAAGGATTTCATTTTGTTCCAACCAGTGTTCTAGCCAGCAATTATGCAAATGACGTCCTTATTTGAATAAGTCAATAAATATGTTTAATGACCTGAATATTCACTTAACTTTCAAATACCCCAAGTATCAAATTCCAGGCAGTTACTATTATTGATTTATAACATTTTCTCATTGATTATACAAATTAACATTTACATAATCATTATCTATATGTGTTTCTCTTGTTTTCAATTACATGTCACAAGCTTGAATAGTCCTATCATGTAATGCAGCTGATTTACATAATTTCATCATAAATTATGCAAAGTGTATCCATATTTGCATAATTGTCACATAATTATGTTAAGCATTACCCCTTAGGCTGCTGGAGTTTCTGGCCAGTACGTGATCTCAGTGCTGGGGTTCCAGAACCCTTTATAATAGGGGGTTCTACTTTTATTTTCTTCCACAATACCCCCAATATGTTATACATAAATAGAAAGCTAAGAATCTCTACTTTTTAGAAATGTCATGCAGGTTTGCCCTAATGTCAGTAGTAATGATGTACAAGGGCAATAAAACATCCTTTTTTGTGACCTCAATGTATTAGAGTATCCAAAACCATGTATGAAATGCTAATATCAAAGCTACAAAATGTCTGACAAGTCCTGATAACACCAGGATTACACAATCGTACATGAGAAAAGATTGTACCCAGGTATGACTACAGGTGAGTAAATGACTACAGACTGTCCTGAGTGTTGAACTGACTATTCAGCTGAAAGGCTTATTACATATCAACAAGGTATTCTCCTTTCTGAGGCTTTGTAAAAGATATTCTTTCAGTTGAAAGCTTACAGCTTGTACTTGCTTGAGAAATCTTTGTCAACTTCGTAACATAAACTCCATGGGCAATAAACGCATCAAAATAATAAAATATACATTTTCCACAATGACTTCAATACAATACACTCTAGCACACATTAAATCACTTTTACTTGGAATATACACTTCCTGACAAATGATGACAACACAAAGATTACTTATAATAGGACTGTCTTGGATGCTGAACTGACCATTCAGCCGAAAGTCTGATATATTACAATTCTCTTTTCTTCAGCTCTAAAGGGCACAGCACAGTAATAGGGCTTTCCTATGTTAATATATGGGAATTATGTGAAAACAACGTGGTCAAAATTGATATACCTGAGTTTTAGACCTTGAAGAACATACATTGGCAGGGTAGGCCAACCTCTCAAGTCTCCATTCCCAAAAAATGACAAAATCCTACGCACCTAAACCATGCGAGAATTCTACCCAAACATTGAGAAGTGACCCCTGACCTCTCTGGACAGCTGATGACCGCATGTAAACCTATATCTTCTTCAGCGAGCCAGACAACACAAACATGGCTGCAAGTCTGTTTTTTCACCAAAATTAAAATACTACAACCCTTATCTATAACATCCAAGTCCAAAACAACAACATTTCCCTAAAAAAAGACTTCTTTACACTCTACATTACATTGCCATCTCTATATACTAGAACTGGGCCCTCTGCGCCTGCGCTATTACTGACCTTTGCCCTAAAAATAAGGTACATAACACTGGTCAATTTAAATTGGGAAAAACAGAGGCAATCGGGAATCCTCAGAAATATCAAATTTCTGCCTACAAATTTGGTATCATCTGAAAGCTCTCTTCATCATGACAGTAGTCAAGTAAAAATTATTAGTCAGTGATGTTCATAGGATTAGATATGTTTGATTGAAAATGCACTAGACCATGTGGTCTGTTGATAGCCCATCAATGGGCTGCAATTAAACCACTTGGCCTGTACAAACAACAATAGTGGCCTGCCACAACAACAATAGTGGCCTGCCACTGGCCCCCACTGGGCTTCACACCTCAAATCACCTAGCCCATGTGAACTAGCTCAGGCCAGTGGCCTACAAATTTGAAGGAAAAGGTGTGAAAAATGTAAATCGACCAAGGTTCATAGGCCACTGGGCTAATGCTAGCTCACCATGGCCCAACCAGAACCTATTCACACTCTGCCAGTTGGTGTGAAATACAGTCTGATTGAGTAATTATCATTCAAAATGAGATTGTTGTCCCTTTCAGGTAGGGGCCACTTAGTAGTTAGAACAGACTGTAAGAAGTTAAATTTGTAGGGTGCAGGTAATTTTATGTAAATAATACTACACAGAAAAGACTAACTTTATACACAAAAAAGGAGTTTTCAAGTCCTGTTAACTGTCACCCACGATGTTCATTTTTTTATTCATGGATATATATATATATATATATTACTGATAGTCATGGAAAATTTGGAGGTCAGTTATAATCTTTAATCTTCAAACATGTCACTGTTGGAAGAATCTTCTAGTAACCAAAACAGATCCCAAAATTACCTTCTCAAGAAGTTGACATAGCTGGTTGATTCAGACATATGTTCATTGCATTTTTTTTTTTTACTTTGAATTTCCTCAAATAAGTGTGTTTGGGAATTTTGCCTACAAAAGTTGACTGACTATAAGACTGTCCTTGTAGATAATGGAATGGTCCACATTGTCTAAGGAAATTCACGCTAAGTGAATGGCATTCTGTCAGAAGATCTCTAGCTAAGGTGTTAGAGACTTTTGTTTTCATATCAAGCTTGTACTAACAGTATTTTTGCTCAAATCTGCAGACCATTGCAAGAAAATTTTGCTGCTTTTGAGGAGAACTGCTGATTCAATTGACACAAAGCTGTAATTCAGCTTGTGTCCTGAGTGCTGACGATATTGTTGTTATTTGTCTGGTCAAGGAGATTTAAAATTCAAAATTTGACTTTGAGCCTCCTTTTTGTGGCTTGCACATCAATCCCAGAATGACTGCACTCGGAAAACTGGCTTTCGACTAAGATTATGCAAATACATTGGCTCAGGAATGATAATAGTATCAGTGACACACAAATGATAATACAATAATAGGTAGGTGAGTGACAAAAGGTCACGAATAATTAAAGGATCCGTAACACATTACTGATACTAGTAATCCCATATACATGTATTGTACGTCCCATACCTCAGGCAAAGTATAATCTGTTCCTTCAATTTAAATGGTATTTAATGGAAATACTAGATACAATGTCATTTCCAGGGAAACCTTTTCTTGAAGTATTTAGAAGAGAGCTGAGTACACCTACTACCAAAAACCTTTCTTTCAGTCAGTTTTTGTTGACACAAAATCAATACACATCTGATAAGCCCATATCCATTGCCTTACAATGTATGCCATGGAGGTCTGTCTTTCAACTCCATGCTTATGCTGAGGTCACATTTCCAAACTGGGACCAGGCTGTTTCGATTAATGAAAAATCAACAAGAATATACACAAATACACTCACACTCACTCACTGTCCGGTTTATCGTCTGTTGTTCCCCGTCTTCCGAGGGTTAGATGTGCTTGCACAATACAAATAGTTCCCATTATAATAATTGATCTTTTTCAACTTTTTTTGCATGTGCTTTGTTGTCTTTAATATGATCATACTTTTCATTCCATAAGACTTCCTGGCCGGGACCCAGTTATGACATCAGCATAAGTTTACAAACTACCATGATCACAGTTAGCCATGATACAGTAGTACAAAAATCCTGAGGGTTTTATGGGTTGTAATGTTTTTCTATGGAGAAAAAAACCTATGGACACTTTTGCTGTCAGAAGTTATCAAATCAAATGCTGGTGCAAGGTTGGTGCAAAACAATAGTATTAACTGTATTTTAGCAAACCAACTAAAGGTACTTGCAGGGTGAAGCAGTGTCGATTGTAACTTCAAGGGTTTTATAGGTCCTGACAACACGGCTCGAAAGTTAAGTACATGTACTGTGTGCATTCGGGGGGATACCTCTGTCTCCAAAAAAGTCAAACCTGATAGGTTATTGTCATAATGTAGATTAGTCTAATCAATATGCTATTTTATTACTGATTGTACCCTCTTTTGTTTTATCAGTTTGTTTTTTTAGCAAGGAGGTTATCATTTTGTTTTGAACACGGAGATTACATTATATCTTCACTTGTTTCGAACACCATACATCTGA